GAAAAGGTGTTCAGGCTGACCTGGTTGTTTTTTTTCCCTTCAAGAATATCAGTGAACCAAAAAAACCCCCAACATAAACAGGTCAGAACAAGTAATATTTTTCTTAGGTTTTATTGATTATCTGTTTTTAAGTAGAGTTCACAGAAAATCACAAAATACCAAAGGTAAAATGATAAATACCAACATTGTAAAAGAAAATTAACATACAAGCCCCCTCTTTGATGTATTTATCACCTTAGTTTATCTCCTCATTTCTCTGCAAGGCCAGAATAAGAAAGTAGGAGCCAAATATTATGGTAGAACATAAATACTACATGTATGTGCAAAACAGAGACAAGTTCAAGCTCTTGGAAAGGTGTTTTGAGCTCAGAAAGGTGCAGGGAAATAGTTAAATGGTTGATTAACATGCAGAAATCACAAGGACTAATTTTAAATCTGCTACTAATCACCCTTATTATGAAACCCACTCCAGAAATGCGGGTACACCAAAAAATATCTATGTAAGGTACATTTATAAACTTGGTAAATGTTTGTATGAGGCCAACTCTTTACAGGTCTGCTGGTGCCTAAATATTAATGACAATTCCATGACAAAGGAAAAAGGAACAGACAAAACTAGGTCAGAAATAAAATATTTCTAGGTAATGGGGTTTTTCTGGAGCAGAGCCATCATTTCTTGTCATCACATTTTATTGTTTTCTGGGCTCCTGAGAAAGGGTGTGGGAATCCCATCCATGGAAAGTGGTCACTCACACTTTGAATCCCACATTTGCAACCAGACCAACAGGAGGAGATCTGGGGAGACACTCTGTGGTCTGGATATTGGTCTGAACTGTCCCTCTGAATAATAATGCCATTCTCCTGGAATATCCAAAGCTAGATCCAAAGGCAGAATCCAGCAGAATGCCACCAAAGGCACTATATAATTAACCTATCAATTAAGTGTTCTTTTATTCTCACTCCACTTAAGACAACTGTAACGTGTGCTTTAAAAGTAGTTAATAAATTTTCCAAGCTTTTTTTTTTTTCTCCCCAAAATACCGTAACTTTTTTTGTGTGATTTTTATGATTTTTAAATATTTAAATGTTTCACTGAAGCTTTCCAAATGAAAACAAAAAGGAATTATTTCCACATTGAATTGGAGAAAATAATCTTTTTTTTTTTTTCCTCATCAGGCAACCACTTAAATCAGGTACCTAAGGATGGATATTTGGCCCCAGTTCAGATACTCAAGGACATTCTGCCTGGTCTCCAGCTGCTGCTTCAGAAGGACAAAATCCATGAGTAAAATGCAGTGCTGAAATTAGTGGAATAGAACATGTTAGCATGAAATCCTCCCTGATCTCTTCAATGGTTTCATGGAGAAAGAAATGTGTTATCCTTGTGTGATATGTCCGTGCTCTTATGAGTTTCCCCCCCAAAAAATCCTGAAATCCCAGTCCCAGCACTTTTGACAATGCAACAGAGGCTGAATAGATTAGTTTTTTGTCTAGTTTAATGAAAATAAAGTATCACACAGTGCTCCTTATTGAGGGAAAGACCTTACTGAAGGAAAGTGCTCCTCAGCACTCCTCCTTGAGGGAAAGACCAAAATTTAGAAACCACAGAAATCACCTGACAGTTTTCACACATATTTTCATTTAAAAAAAAAAAAAATCTTTCACTAATTCCATTAGTCACAGATCTACCTGCATTGTTTAGGATGTAAAAGGTCAGAACATTAAGTAAAGGGTGATTTTTTTTGGCTAAGAGGCACTGCTGGCATAGAAAAAGATCACAGAGCACTGTTGTGCACGTCAGCAACTAAAGATTTATCTGTGAACAGGAATTTGGAGTCTGGTCCTTACATTTTTATAGTTTCTGTTTGAAATGCAGTTCTTTGGAATATACTCAAAGATACTCAGTTCTGGGGAGGGAACTCGAGTACCCAGCCCTGCTCCCATTGAATTCTCATGTTGTTCTTCCATCAAAGGGCTCGAGCTCTGCCCTTGGATCAGGAAGCTCAGCCATAACAGGAGAGAGCTCCTGTGGGAAACTTGATATCCCCAGTCTTTGGAGACATCAATTATTAGGACATGGACCCACTGGAGCAGGTCCAGAGGAGGCCACGGAGATGCTCCAAGGGCTGGAGCTCCTCTGCTCTGGAGCCAGGCTGGGAGAGCTGGGGGGGTTCACCTGGAGAAGAGAAGGATCCAGGGAGAGCTGAGAGCCCCTTGCAGGGCCTAAAGGGGCTCCAGGAGAGCTGGAGAGGGACGTGGGACAAGGGATGGAGGGACAGGACTAGGAGGAATGGCTTTAAGTGGAAAGAGTGTCAATTTATATTGTGGTTAAGGAGGAAGATTTTTACAATGAGGGTGGTAAAACACTGGCACAGGTTGCCCAGAGAAGCTGTGGCTGTCTGGAAGTGTTCAAAGCCAGGTGGGGTAGAGCTTGGAAAAACCTGGTCTAGTGCAAACTGATCCTGCCCACGGTAGGGGGGTTTGAACTATATGATCTTTAAGGTCCCTTCCAACCTAACCCATTTCCTGATTTCTGTGAATGTCTCCAGTCTTTGGAGACGCTAATTATCCCTTCCAAAGTTTGGGGGGGAAAAAAGATCTGGAGCTGCAATGCATTGACGAAACAACCCTTCCCCAAACAGCAAACCTTTCCTACCCTTGCTAAGACGCCCTGCAGATCCAAGAGAGTTCCTTGAGGATTTTCCCTGGATTCCTGGCCCTCCGCTCGCTCCCTGGTTGGGTGACACTAGATGGAGCTGCGGACCTGCTGAAGGTTCCGCTCTCCATCTCCTCTCCTGCCCGCAGAGGGAACCCGAGCTCTTCGCAGGTCCGGGCAGCCCGTCCAAGACAAGGGAAATTCTGTTTTAGGGTAGTTTTGTCGGGAATTTGGAGCGGCCGGACAGGCAGCAGATTTGATCCAGTCCCTCTGAATTACTGTGGTCTCTGGGGAGGGAATTTTTTAAACTGAGTTTTGAGCAATTTGGGGTTTTGGTAGCAAGTAGAGATGCAGGTGCACAGCAATGACTTTGGGGATGTGGTGTTTGTAGAACGCTGTGGTTTAACCCCAGCTGGCAGCTAAGAACCAGGCAGGTGATCCCTCCCTCCCTCCCTCACGGTGGGATGGGGGAGAGAATTGGGAGGGTAAAAGTGAGAAAATATCTGAGTTGAGTCTAATAACTGGGAAAGCAAAAGTCCCACAAACAAGCAAAGCAAAACAAGGAATTCCTTCACTGCTTCCCATGGGCAGGCAGGTGTTCAGCCATCCCCAGGAAAACAAGGATCCATCAGGTGTAACGGGGATTTGAAGACAAATGCCATCACCCTGAATGTGTGTGTATCCCCCCCACCTCCTTCCCCAGGTCTACATGCTGAGCATTTCTGTGGTGTGGGACATCCCAAAGGTGGGTTGGGATCAGCTGTTCCAGTGATGTCCCCTCCCAGCCCCCTGTGCACCCCCAGCCCCCTCGCTGGTGTGTCAGTAGGAGCTGCAGAAAAGGCTCTGAAGCTATGCAAGCACAACTCAACAATGACAAAAACATCTCTGCGTGATCACCCCTGTTCTCAGCACCAACCCAAAACACAGCCCCACAGCAGCTCCTGTGGAGAAAATTAAACGTGTCTCAGCCAAAGCCAGCCCCCTGTGATGAGCATGGCTTTGGGATGCTTTCCCAATGTGAGAGTGCAGGATGGGAAAGCAAAGACAGGCTTGCTAAAATCAGGGGGGTTGAGGAGCTTACCCCTTTTACTCTTGTTTTTCTAGGGACCATTATAATCAGCAAAAGTAAAGAAAAAAAAGGCACCAAAACCATTTTCTTTCCATCAGGAAAAAAAAAATTATTAAACCATGAGGTTATTTTCCTTCTTTAAGACAGACCTGTGCAATAGTGAGTGTATTGCACAATTACAGTCAGAGAATTATTCCATTCCTTATAATGTAATAATTGCACAACTGTAGTCAGAGAATCTTTGCAGGAGCACAGGAGGCAGATGGGGGGACAGCCCTGAGGTGCCATTCCAGTGTCTCTGATATTCCATTCCCTCTTCTCTCTGTCACCAAGGCTACAGAGCCAACTCGTGGAGCTCTGTGGTCCAAAGCTCACCCTCAGCTCCTTCACCTGCACACAAGGCATCCTGACATTCCAGATGCTCTCCCAGACAAACCCTGAACCATCCCAGAACTATCCTATTTCAAAACAAAATATGTTTAGCTGGCTGTGGCTTCTTATCCCTCAGCTCCATTCCTAGTTTTCTTATCATGTATTTAAGGGAACTTGATAAAAGATAGAGCAGCTTCAACAAGGGGACCACAAAGAGATCAAAGCTTCCAGGTACTGCCCTAAAACCATCCTGTATGATGCTAAGAACATACAAAAGTTTTATACATTTATACTGTACAAATGGTGTTTATACAGCAATTTTTAAAGTTTATTTCCCATTTCCAAAGTAAATTAGGCTGATGCACTTTCTCCTTAGCAGACGACAAAAAGCACATGAGTAGATTTAATGTCCCTATTAAACCAAATGCTTTGTGTAAATAGTTCTCTGACCTGTAAGTTATATAAAATATATGTCTCTGTGTGGTTTTATCCAGCTACATCCAAATGTTTGTACATATTTTCCTTCTCTTGAAGATAAACTCTGCTGTGTTTACTGCCTATTCACTCACTAATTAGTAGATATGTTTGTGAAGAGAACTAATTGACTCTACTGCTCTGTCTATCATGATCATAAAGCCAGGAAAATGTGACAGCTGTTGGGGAAAACTTCTGGTTTTTCTTTTGCTCTTTATTTGGTGTGATTTCAGTTTAATTTTTGGATTAATGTGTAGGAATTCTTTTTTTTTTGTAGCACTCAGGCTATTTTTTTTCCCCACTGACTTCATAGGCAACAGGTTTAATGAGATCCAACAGGTCTCACTTTGAAAAGGGCATATTTTGTGAGCATCTTTGACTCACATGTCCATTAAGTGTGTGATGTAACATTAAAATCTGACCTTGTCCAACGGGAAAATTGTTTCCAGCTTTAATGAGGCAAAGCCTGGAAATGGAGGTGATGTCTTTCATTTGGAACTGCAGACACAAGGGGAAAAGCAATGGGTTTGAGCACAATCTCTTTTCTTCAACTCTTAGACAGCAGGAGCCACAAGGTTCCACCTAAGCAGAGTTTGAGAATAAGTGTTCCACGTTTAACTTAGTTGTGTTAATCAACTATAACAGAAATAGAACTTGGAAAAAAGGGAAAAAAACATTATTCTGTGTCTAAACATTTAGTTTAGACTTTAGTGACTTGCTGATAAATTAGATGCCTGGGAGGTTATTTTTTCCCCCTAAAAATTTTCATATTGGTTTTCTATTTGGAACACCTGATGTCATTAATCTATTTAAATCAGCCCAGCTGTGCTCAGGTTTGTACCAATCCAAGTGATATTTACCTTCCACTTATGGAAAGGCCTTTGGACAAGGAAATACTGAGTCAGAGAAACAAAGTTTCTGTAGGGAAGGGAAAGTTTGGGAAGGAAAGGAAATTTCAAGGAAATTTCAAGGAAAGGAAATTTCAAGAAAAGGAAATGTGGGAAGGTTTGGGAGGGGAGGGGAGGGGAGGGAAGGGAAGGGAAGGGAAAGGAAGGGAAGGGAAGGGAAGGGAAGGAAGGGAAGGGAAGGGAAGGGAAGGGAAGGGAAGGGAAGGGAAGGGAAGGGAAGGGAAAAGCCTTTGTTTTTTGGTTGGATTTTTTCTATTTGTATGTGTATGGGAATGTTGATTTTCTTTGGGACATTTCACCTAAACCTTTTACCTGATATCCTTGGCTAATATTTGGAGACTCTTTGATCTTCCTTAAACATCAGGGAACTTTATTTCCTAGTGAGCAGGTTTTTTTCTTGTAACTCTCTGCACATTAAAAATCAAAATACAACTCTGACTAGTAAGTCCAACTGTGAGTTCATTTTATCAAGGTAATTAAAGGAACAATTTAATAAGCTTATACAGGAGACACTCAAAACACAAGGATGCTGGAGTCTTTGTGGAGCAGAGTCCATCAAAGGAGTTAGTTATGCATCAGGGAATATGCCTTGTTTTGTTATGGCTCTAATGGATAATTTCTTCTCTGAGTGCTGTGTGAGCTGACTATCTCCTTTAAACCTTGCTTTGAATATCTTTCATTTACCTGCCTGCTGCTGAAGTAGGAAAATATCTTGGTTTAGGACTCTTTCCCTTGCTTTAAAAAGTCATTTCTGCTTTAATCAAGATGACCATTGGTGGCAGAAGGAGTGGAATTAAGGCCCTAATTACCAGAATCTCATACTGTGACAAGCACTGGTTTTGCTTGCAAGCAAATCTCTGCAAGATCACTGATGTTTTGGATCAGGCTTCTGGTGATTAAGGGGGGCTTGGAAGAAGAGTTCAAGCTCATGAGCTGAATCCATAAACTCACACAGTTCATTAAAAGAAGGCTTTGAAGTCTCGATTTTTATTTTCTTTTAATTTTGTAGAACTTCCTATGAAATGTTTCTATTCAGCCATTATTATTTTAATGATTCCTTTTTTTTTTTGTTAAGTGAAAGCAATTTTGCTGCTGTTTTTCTTCCTTTTCACATCTTCCTCATGCTTTCAGGAAGTTGATATTTTCATGGAGATGTCACTTTTTACTGTATGTCATAGAATCCCACAATGGTTTGGGTTGGAAGGGACCTTAAACATCATCCAGTTCCACCCCCTGCCATGGGCAGGGACACCTTCCACTAGCCCAGGTTACTCCAAGCCCTGTCCAACCTGGCCTTGGACACTTCCAGGGATGGGGCAGCCACAGCTTCTCTGGGCAACCTGTGCCAGGGCCTCACCACCCTGAAAGTAAAGGATTTCTTCCTAATATCCAATTTAAACCTACTCTCTTTCAGTCTGAGCCATTCCCCCTTGTCCTGTCACTCCATGCTCTTATAAAAATTCCCTCTCCATCTTTCATGTCAAATCCCTTCAGGTCCTGGAAGGCCACAAAAAGTTCACCCCAAAGCTTCTCTTCTCCAGGCTGAACAATCCCAATTTCCTCACCCTTTCCTCACAGCAGAGCTGCTCCACCCTTCTGATCATCCTGGTGGCCTCCTCTGCACTCACTCCACCTGTTTTCCTTCCAGACTGAAGTGCCCTTCAAGGTGTTCCCTGTATATCCCAGCTCTTAAGTTCCCCTGGACATTGAGGACAAAGTCCAAAATCCACACTTATCTTCCACATTGTCTTCCACATCTGTGTTCTCACTCAGCTGAAGCCAAAGAAACCTTGATCTGTCCAACCATCTCATAATCACAGAATCCTGGAATGGGTTGGGTTGGAAGAGACCTCAAAGACCATCCAGTTCCAACCCCCTGCCATGGGCAGGGACACCTTCCACTAGCCCAGGTTGCTCATATTTGGGGATTATTTATATTTTCTTTCCAAAATAATCCTGAATACTTTTTGATTTTGAATAGCAGAATGGAAAAGCAGAATTAATGTGTGTGTCAGCCCTTACTGGCAGGAGTGGGGGCTTATCTCCTCCTCGTCCCCAGGCACTGCATTTGTCTTTGCCAGGGCTTTGATGTTCTCCCATCTGAGCTGTCCCTGTGCTGACCAGTTGTTGTACCTCCAGCCTGACACGGGTCAGATGTGAACAGACCTTGGGTCCATCATGTGAAGTGGCCACCAAGCAGCTCTTTGTCACTTGTCCAAAAGAAGAAATGAATTCTCTCAGTCCTGGAGAATTTACTCTCAAAGAAAGAAAATCCCCTCAGATTTGTTATTAAAATAACACAGATGCCCCCTGCACATTAAAATTGGGCAGGGGTGGGGAAAATCAAGCAATGAAGCTCAATAACTGTGCTGGTTTGGGTTTGGTTTTGTTTTGTTTTTTTTTTAGTAATCTTTGGAACATTTTGATCTGTTGGCACATTTTTGAAAAATATTTTTGAATATTTTGAAAAATAGAGTTGGGGGAAAAAGAGACATTTTCCATCCAAAAATCACCAGAGATAAATATCATCCTCTCACATGAATGGAATGAATGAGAAAAGTTAAAAGACATATTTCAGGTCTTTGATTTACACAATAATTACAGCTTTGTAACAAGGGTGATATATGGATTCAAGGTCTTCAGGGGAAAGTAACAGTACTTATTATCCCAGCTGGGATAAAGATAGATGGAATTTTGTCCACTTTTTCCAGCTGTGTCAGCTGCAGACAGTGGAAGGAATCTTGTATAATTCTTCTGTCCTTTTCCTTATGTATTGGAAACAGACTCATGTGCTTAATGAAGTCTTGATCTGAACACTTATGTTCTTTTGGTCCTCCTTGCACTTTTTATTTTTGGGGTGGGTGTGTCCCTGGCCGGGCCAGGGACACACCAAAACCACTCTGTGAGTCCCCTCTGCAACTGGACAGAGGAGGGAAAATATAACAAAAGGCTCATGAGTTGGGATAAGGGCAGAGAGAGATCCCCCACCAATTCCCATCACAGGTGACACAGTCTTGACTTAGGAAAATTTTTTTAATTTATTGCCAATCAAAATCAGGGCAGGATAATGGGAAGTCAAACAAATCTTAGAAATACATCCCCTCCTTCTCCCTCCTGCCCATGACAAAGGGAGATGGGAATGGGGGTCACGGTCAGTTCATCACAGGTTGTTTCTACTCAGGGAGAGGAGTCAGAGTCCTTCCCCTGCTCCAGAGTGGGGTCCATCCCATGGGAGATGGTTCTGCACAAACTTCTCCAGTGTGAATCCTTCCCACAGGCTGCAGATCTTCACAAACTTCTCTAATGTGGGTCCCTTTCCATGGGGTGCAGTCCCTCAGGAACAGGCTGCTCCAACGTGGGTCCCACATGAGGTCACAAATCCTACCAGCAAACCTGCTCCAGTGTGGGCTCCTCTCCCTGCCAGGACCCTGCTCCAGCACAGGCCTGCCACGGGGTCACAGCCTCCTTTGGGCATCCCCCTGCTCCATGTGGGCTCCTCCCTGTGCTGCAGGTGGATCTCTGCTCCCACATGGACCCCCAAGGGCTGCAGGGGCATCGTTGCCTCCCCATGGGCTGCACCTTGGGCTGCAGGAGAACCTCAGCACTGGTGCCTGGAGCTCCTCCTGCCCCTCCTCCTGCACCACCCTGGGGTCTGCAGGGCTGTTCCTCCCACAGATCTCACTCCTCTCTTCTCTGCACAATTACATCTGTGCAATAACTTTTTTCCCCTTATTCAATACATTATTCCAGAGTCATTACTGCTATCCCTGCTTGGCTCAGCCTGGCCCAGTGGTGGGTCCATACTGGATCTCTCTAGCATGGGCTCTGTCAGAAAAGGGGGAAGCTTCTGGCAGCTTCTCACAGTATCCCCCCCAATACCAAAACCTGGCTGCACAAACCCAATACAATTTTATAGAAGCAGATGATCAAACCCAAACGCCCTCAATAGCACAGATATGTCTAAGACAACCAGTCAGACCAGTGTGTTTCCAAAAAACTCCAATTCTAACATTTCCTAAACACGTTTGTGTACCTCTAGTTTGAAACTTCGGTGTTGAGATCCTTCTCATTGCCCTGTCAAAGCAAAGCACAAGTGTTCAGACAGGATTGATGCCTCAATTGTCCTGTCTGTTGGAGGATGCTGAGATCACAGAATCATAGAATCATAGAAAGTCCTGGGTTGGAAGGGACCTTTAGGATCATCTCATTCCAGCCTCCTGCAATGGGCAGAGAAACCCTCCACTAGATCAGTTGCTCAGAGTCCCATCCAACCTGACCTTGAGCACTTCCAGGGATGGGACATCCACAGCTTCTCTGAACAACCTGTTCCTGTGCCTCACTACCCCCTGAGTGAAGAATTTATTCCCAACATCTAATCTAAATGGCTTCTCTTTCAGTTTAAAACACCCCCCTTTGTCCTATCACCACCTGCTCCTTTTTGTCAGCCCCTGTGTTTTGTGGAAGGCCACAATGAGGTGTCCCAGAGCCTTCACTTCTCCAGGCTGAACAATCCCAGTCCTCCCAGCCTGTCTCCATAGGAGAGGTGCTTGTTACTATTGCCTTGACAATAAACAGCCTCCACTGTTTCTGTTTTGTACAATGTTGTTCTCCTAAACATCTGTTGCTTTATAATCACACATAAGTCAACTGCAGATTTTTCTGCTGCCATCCCCACTAGTTAAAAAACATTAGAGCTGCTGGTAATGGCTGTGCCCTTTTGTTTTGCTCTCGTTCAGAAAATTCCTGCTCCTGTGCCTTTTGCTTTACTGCATCCCATCTGGTGACCCAGATTAGCTGGCTTTCTCCCAGGCTTAGCTCATTTCTACCTCTCTTGCCTCTGCTACCATACACCAAAAGCAGGTTTTTGCTGTGGGCTGCAGGAACTTTCCAGGATTAGCCAGGAGTTTTCTTCTTTTCTTCTTTCTTTTCTTCTTCTTCTTTCCAGGATTTTCTTCCCCAAATGAAATCCTGGGTAATTTTCAAATTAATCCCTTCTATCCCCACCCCTGGAAGTGTTAAAGGTCAAGTTGAACAGGGTTCTGAACAACTTGATCTGGTAGGTGGCATCCCTGCCCATGGCATGGGGGTTGGAGGTAGATAATCTTTAAAGTCCCTCCCAACACAAACCATTCTATGATTTTAGCTAACCATGGGCACTAAAAATTAGGAACAACCATCAGAATGAAAATGATACAAGTAGACTCTTCACTGATGTTCACCACCTCACTTATATTCATTCAGTTCTGGTGTAAAAGAATGCGCAGATTTGTCTCAACTGGGTCACTGACTGAATCTGTTCTAAAAACTGAGCAGCTCCCTCAACACTGGTTGGACTTGATGGTCTTAGAGGTTTTTTCCAGCCTTAACAATTCTATGATTCTAAGATCAAACATATCAGTGGGGAAAAAAACCTTGATAACAGCCTGTGAATAAACTGCTGACCTACTAGCACTGTAAGAGGATGCCCATGGGATTCTGAATCCCTGGGTCCAGGGATGAGTTAGGACAACCAGCCCTCTAGTACAGGTTGCTTGGGAGCTGTCAGAGACATACAAGAAGAGAAGCATCATGGTCAACCCTTGACTGCATTGAAACTGAGACCAGATCCACAAGAAATGCTGTAGAGGAGCCACTAAAGAATTAGCAGGACTGGTTGAGGTTCATTACAGCACATCAGTGAAGGAAGGTGTTTGGGACTGATGTTCACAGTGCTTTAAAATACAAATAATTATATTATTATTAATTATTAGCATGACCAGCATGTTGAGAGAGGTGATTCTCCCCCTCTACTCTGCTCTACCCCACCTGGAGTGCTGTCACCAGCTCCAGGGTCCCCAACATGAGAAAGATGTGGAGCTGCTGGAGCAGGGCCAGAGGAGGCCACTAAGTTCATCAGAGGGCTGGAGCAACTCTGCTCTGGAGCCAGGCTGGGAGAGCTGGGGGTGTTCATCTGGAGAAGAGAAGGCTCCAGGGAGAGCTGAGAGCCCCTTCCAGGGCCTGAAGGGGCTCCAGAAGAGCTGGAGAGGGATTTTGGACAAGGGGATGGAGTGACAGAAAAAGGAGGAATGGCTTCAAACTGAATGAGGGTAGATTTAGGAAGAAATTCTTCCCTGTGAGGGTGGGGAGGCCCTGGCACAGGTTACCCAGAGAAGCTGGGGCTGCCCCATCCCTGGAAGTGTCCAAGGCCAGGTCGGAGCAACCTCTGGGCTAGTGGAAGGTGTCCCAGCCCATGGCAGGGGGTTGGAACTTGATGATGTTTAAGGTCCCTTCCAACCCAACCCATTTTATGATTTTATGATGCTGAGGAATGATTAGACCTGATAGTTTGTGCCTGTTTGCAGTGAGGCTGAGAGAAGGACAGTAATGACTTATATCCTACCACTGCAATTTGGACACTCTCATGCAGCAAATGACTTCAAAACAAGCAGCCTTTAGCAGTTTTCCAGCACATCATTCCATGCTGAAGTTCAGCCCCCACACCCAACTCTGGCATTTAGATCCAGTCTGCTCCTGCTGTGTGCTGCCATTAATGTTTCTCCAACCCCACCATCCTTCTTGCCACCTACTGACCACCCACTCCCACATCCTAATGGGAGTTTTGACCATGGGGGGGAGGAAGGGATGATTTGTCAGGTCATTAGGCTCCTCTTGGTGCAGCTTCCTCAGCTCCAGGATCTGCTCTATTTAGTGAAATGTCTCCAGGCTTGTGGTCACACTGGTTTAAGGCACTCAATATTTTAGGGAGAGGAGACAAGCTGAGCAAGAAAAAAAGCTCTAATTATCTCTACTGATGTGCAAAATCTTTCCTGGGTGTTACATGGTGGGGAGGAGGGGAGAAGAATTCATCAGATGCATATTGTCATAATCATCACTCCCTTAAATAGCTCATTTAACCAAGGGGCCTTAATAACAGTTAAAATCTGCTCTTTTTTTCTTTGTCTTAATTTCTCTCTCTTTTTTTTTTTTTTTAACTTGCTCCATTTCCAGCTCTTCATGAGTTTTTTTATTTTTTCCCCTAAGTAGCAAGTTGCATTTACATCCCTAACCCGGGAATCTTCCACTTGCAGCTCTCCTTTGTGATCTTAAACATTTATAATCTCCCCTGGCCAGAGATTGTGCTGGTTTCCTTCCAGATTTGGATAAGCCTCATAGCTATTGCAGTCCCAATAATGAATTAATGATTTTATTTTCCTCTTTACTTCATGAAGAATAATGTAAAGACACAAAGCACTTGTTTACAGGAGAACATTTGCTGCAGAGTCAGGGTTTTGGGTGTTTGCTTCTTAATTCTTTGCCTTTCCACCCTCCAGAGTCTCTGCTATAATGAACTTTAAATATGAGAGCAAAACCCTGTATGAACCTCAGGATGATGCCTAAGGATACAGAGGTCTCTGACCATGGACAGGTAAAAGGAACCAGTCTGGAGCTTGGATTTAACTTTGGCATCACTCTTAAAGAACTTTTCCAAGGGCAGGTGCCTGACAAATTCACAGCACAATGTTAAGCTCCTTTATCCAACACTTTTTTGTCCTCTCAGAGAAAAAAACACTTATTTTTCTGGAAAAAAAAAATAAAAAATGATGGTGACTGCAGGACTTAAAATGTTGATGATGAAAGCTCCTCCAGCTGAAGAGTTCCAGCCAGGGTCACAGGGCACCCAGAAGAAAGGCTGAGCAATGTGCTATTTTCAGCACATGGTGTTGTACTGTCAGCTTCTGTAGAGAAAGCCAAGCCTGAAGCAAGCTTTTCTGAAGCTGAGACCAATTAATAAGAGATATAAAGCCATCATTAAACTCTCTGGAATTATAGGCACATTTCCCTTTAAACTGGCACATTAAACATCTTCCCTTGAACTCTAATTTGGGTCCCATGTTAGGGCCTCACTTGGCCTGCCTTTAGAACAACCCTCTGAATTTTATTGAATTGTTTTCCTTATGTTTCTACTATTTTTTATTTATCTGAATTTTATTCTATGCTTTTGTTTCCCCTGCTGAGCTGCTGAACTACTCAGGAAAGGGCTCACAAGTCTGTTCAGCACTTTTTTGGCTTCCTTCTGGTTTGCTGTCCCTTAGAATTCACTTTAATTAGTGAATTTGAGCCAGCTTGCAGTATCCTGGGCTTCTTGTGCAGCCCTTAGAAGGAGTTTGGGATTTTCACAGTCGTGTGGGAACAGAGTTTGAAAACCATTGTTGAATGTATTTATAGCTGGATGGGTGTTTCCTCACTCTGGGGTGTGAATGTTGATAGAAAATGCACTAATTACTAATGAATATTGATATTCAATATTAATATTGGTCTGTTGGAAGGTTCCCTCCCATGGCAGGGGAGTGGAATGAGATGATCTTTGGGTCCCTTCCAACCCAAAGCATTCCATGGTTCTATCAGTGTGACAATAAAATTGAGCACATATTCTGTGGTACCATCACAGCACCAGGGGGGGTTCAGGTTGGGTATTAGGAAGAATTCCTTCCCTGAAAGAGTGGTTAAGGATTGGAGAAGGCTACCCAGGGAAGTGATGGAATCACTGTCCTTGGAAGTGTCCAAAAAATGAGTAGCTGTGGCACTTCATGGTATGTTTTACTGGGCACAGGAGTTTTTGGTTGAAGGTTGGACTTGATGATCTTGGAGCTGTTTTCTAACCTTAACAATTCTATGAATTATTCCCTATGTTTCATTCATAATTAATTTAATTTTTTAATAAGTAGACATTGAGATTTTCTTTTACTTTAGAGACACTCATCTGTCTCCAGTGATCCAAAAATGGGGAGTGACAGTGCCAGTCTTTGGATCTACACAGTACCACATTTCAAACCTGACACTAATTTAAAAATGCAAGATACTTTTACAGAACCTAAAGAATTTAGGTGCCCAAGCACTCTGGGGATCCTTGGGAGCCAGACATTAGGTGTGTGAGTCTGAGATCTACTTAATGACCTCACTACATGTTATGTGCATGATCAGGCACAGAAATTATTTGAAAATCTATTATTCAGTGACCAGCTTTCAAAATCACATTATTAATGAACAGAATAGATGAAAGACATGTTTAGAAGTCCTAGTGACAACATCTTATAGCTCTGGTGTTCTACAGAGAGAAGCAAGAAGAGGTT